GAATATATTTTTAATATTAAATTCAATTCTCTTTATGAAACAATATTTTTTAATTTGAAATACTTTTGAACACTAATTACAAAAAACAACTAAAAAAGTTAACATTATTTTAAATGACATTATATTATGATATGAAATACAATACCAAATAAAGCATAAGAATTACTTACGTTTGCGTTCATTGAATAAACAAATGACTCTAATTTGAGACCTACTGTGAAGACAAATACAGTGCAATATATCTTATGATATAATAATGTAATCGTTTGTAACTAATTCTGCATACATTTATTATATTATATTAACTTTACTTATATTTCATTTTATATTTAATTTAGGCTTAATGTGTGCTAGAGCAACCGCGGATTTTTTAAGACTATATATTAAAGTATAACGTAATTTTACGTGCGTTTATGATCAAACATAGCAGAGCGCATGTGAATGTTGTGAACGCACACAAACACAACACACTGTGCTTTTATTTCAAAAACAACACATTGTGAACAAAATGGCCTCAAAGGGGTATGTTCAAAAGTGGGATAGCTTGCACCCAAGAGATATTTTAGATACTGAAAGTACTTAATCTACAGAGTCTAGTGGTATACTTTATATGGTAAAGTGACCTCGGGTTTGGCCGCAGTGACCACTTTTATCGGTAAAATTTTGAAAATCAAATCTTTTATTTTATAAATAACCATATCATATTATATATCAATAGAAAGGTATTAAAGAATAGAATTGAAATCCGAACGAATTTCTCAAATCTGACATAAGTGATAAAAGTTATATCCAAATTGAGAAATTTAGTATCAGTTATGTACGTTTTGTATAGTGAATAACGTCATTACTAAACATCAGTTATATCAATTTTTATTATGCTTACGATGATAATTAATTTCGCAAATTAAAAAATTAATAAAATTTTTTAATATAAATTTTTTGGCATTTTACCCATTAACATTGAACTTTACCCTTTGCAAAATAGTGAGAGACAAAGGTCTACTTCCGTGTTCGGTGTCTCTTGGGTAACGCTAACAGACCTATTTGTAAGCAAACACATTTTGCATTACACTTTAATATCTATGAAAACAACCAAAATCGATTTCAAATCGATTTCTCGCGGTTGCCCTAATAAATATTTAGTATGCTATCAATATATTTTAATGTGAACTAATTTAATTATGTATTACCAGTAACTGTTTTCACCACAGTAGATTTACTTGGTTAGTAAAATAACTATTGAAAATTCAAATAAATCTATTATGTAAAGCCTAACTGTAAGCCTAACTGTATATACAGTACATTGTATATTATGATTAAATTAAATATAATCAATATTTTATAATGTAATCACTAAAGTGTTGAGTGATTTCACTTTCCATAAATAAAATTACAGATAATAATTATTATAAAGTTCACAATATTTAACTAATGTCTGTTAATTAAATGTAACGACAAAACTAATAACAAAAACAATTGAAATATAATAATTAATAATTATAATAAATATTATACATATTTTTTGTGATTTATTTAGTCAACAATTATTTAGTTTTTAAGTTTAACAAAAGTGTTTGTATTTATGTCAAAACAATGGCGTTAATTATCAACTATTTGTGTATAATTAGCGCCTACTTTGCAATTGCAAACTCCGGGCCCACTATTGGCCCCAACGGTAGCGCCGTTACCGCCAAACCTATTATACTATTCAACTCCGAAGGCATCAGATTTTCTCATATCTCTAACCACTTGGACCGTCCGATTGTGGCCGAAATGTGCGACAAATTGGGTAAAAATAGTTATACTGTTAATGCATTGGATGTGAACATTGAGGGCAAGTACTTTGTGTGGTCTGTCGGCCTGATAGGCATGGGTTATCACTGCCGTGTCAAACTGTGGTGTTGACTAGGTGTCTCGCCGGCTTGCGCCGAGGTCTAGATGTCTGTCAGTTGTTAATAATGCAGGTTGTCCTTCAGGTCAGCACACTCCATCGATTGGGTCCATAATTTGGTCTATTATTTCAATTACACTAACCTTAATGTCGTGGATGTGAACAGACCTGAGATCAGCTATCAATTGACAGACTATAAGCCACAATTATACTCGTCTACGGAGTTCAGCAGCGGTAGTATTGCTGTCAATCCGTACGACTCGTTCATTGTGTGGTCAGAATATATGGCAACCAATGGGTCGGCAGTCATCCGCCGCTGCAATGAAGACGGATCTGATCCTAAGATCTTAGAGATATTTCTGTATTCTGAAGGGTATACAGACCGGTATCTGAAGTGCTGAGTTTGGTAACATACCTAACTATTACTTAACGTAAGCAACAGTAGGTAACTAATATACCCTTTGTTATCCTTTTGTAAGAAAAATTCTAAACAACACTTCGGCGACTGTTCATCAATGGATGTGTTCAACGGATCCGTGTATTGGGTGTCACCCAAAGTGAACAAAATCTATCGGTTGGACACAACGGGAAACCCGATGACAGCCACCATTGAACCTATGGTCACATCTGAAGAGGAAATAAATTTTGTGCGATTTATGTATAGTACTAGAGGCCGGTCACCGGCGGCGATGGTCACCAATTACTGTCTAAACAACACTTGCGATCACATATGCGTACCCAATGGTCAACGCGGGCACCGGTGCCTGTGCTCAGACACTCACCAGCTGTACGACTGTCACGAGCCTCGGGTACTGTACCCGAAACCGGCGATACCGGCAGTAAAACAAGATACCGGGGCTATCGGTCGGCTGATCTCTACCGGCGATCCTTTATTACTGTTTATGACCGATAAGCGTGACGTACGGCTGACTCGACTGCCCACCGCCGGTCTGCCCCGACTGCACGACCCAACTGCCGGTCGGGCCGTGTATTGCACCGAAGCTGAGTTCATGTACCCGCTCGACCACTACGCCACTTCCCTCGACTACAGCCTAAGCGGCAACTATTTGGCCTGGCTTAAAATTAACAATGACGGCTTGACACCCAAGACATCCATGCTGTCGGCGCCCGTTGACCAGTCCAGGCCCAACTCCCTGTCCGCCAACAGCGACGTGTCGACCCTCATCGACAATATATCCGAATCGCGACCATCCAAGTCAATGGCCGTGGATTGGATCCATGGCGTGGCCTATCTGTCCATATGTGGCCCGTCGGTGGCCAACCGCGGGCTTTACGCCGTGAATCTGACGGCACCCGAGCGCCAGTATCTGTTGGTACGGCACCCGACTTGCGTTGTCCGCGAAGTGAGAGTAGACGCCAACGAATCGGCGCTGTTTTGGCTCCAATACGACGAGTCCAGCGCCACCGCCGGTGTCTACACGACGTACAGAACAACCAATTTGTTGTATATTAAACGGTCGACACTTAGCGGCCAGTCTATCGTCAGTTTGACCGACGCCCGCCGTATCTGGAAAGACACGCTGACCCTTGACGTCGTCGATAAGCGCCTGTATTGGCTGGAAATTGAGTCCGTAATACCGTTGACAATGTGTCTGATAAGCATGGGTTACGACGGCACCGGCCGGAAGCTTGTGCTGTCCTCCCGAACCGTATTCAACGATCTGGCCATAACTTCCATGGATCTGTTCATGGATTACATCTATATCTCGGATCTGGAAAACGATACCGTCATTCGGTTAAGTAAACACGAGTCGATCGGCGCGCCGGTAGTCGAGACAGTCCTCCAGTGCGGAGTCGACGTCCACTCAATCAAAATTGTCCACAAGACTAGACAACCGGACGGTCCGAACCGTTGCCTCAACCATAACTGCCCGTCGCTATGTCTGCCGACAGCCGGAGCTGAGCCCAGCTATACGTGCTATTGTCCGCCCACACAGACCTGGAATGTGAGCGCGTGTGTCGGCGTCAGTGGCGGCACCAGTGGTGGTACTATTGATAGCACACCAGTCCGACAGTTCAACCCGGAGTTCTCAGTGCTCGACAATCAGACGAGTCGACTGTTGTTTGTGGTCTACAATCAGGGCGTTTACGTGAAGGAGAATACCATTGATTTGAACACCGAATACATTGAGGCCAAGACATTGGTCTCGAAGACCGTATGGATCACCGAAATAGACTACGACTACGACCGCAACTGTTTGTTTTGGTTAGAGTACCCGTTGACGGGTGCGTCCCTATACGCCGGGCCCATAAACAGTAGCCGTCCGTCGATGTATAGCTCACAACGCTTATTGACCACGATGAATTTTGTGTCGAAACGGCTGGCCTACGATTGGCTCCACCAACTGGTCTACACGTCCGCACCGAAGGGCGTCCAAGTGTTTAATGTGGGCTCAGAGCCCATGTATGTGTACGATGTGGTCAAACACGGCGACACCCAACTGGACGTCGCGGTCGACCCCATACACGGTGTGCTCGTGTGGTCGCAATATAAATACAATGAGATACTCGACACCCGCGCCGGCACTATAATGCGGGCCAATCAGGACGGCACCCGACCAGAGAAGGTGATCGGCACAGACTCGTCGCCCTACACGTTAGCCCTGGACGCCGACGCACATGTGGTCTATTGGATTGACGCTCTGTTGCATTCATTGCATTCCGTCGACTATATGGGTGTCAACTCGAAGACCATTCTTCGAGGTACCACTCTTTTCGAGGAGTCCTTTTCGATGGATGTCTTCGGCGGATATGTTTTTTGGTCCAATTATGCGGCGAATGCGGTGCTTAAGACTCATACATCCGGCGCTAACGGCACCGAGAGGTTGACAGTGGTTCAGGCGAACACTGATATAGAGGGCGTCCGGGTGTTGGACCGGTCCAGACAACCCGCGGGTGTCAACCGGTGCCGCAATCATAACTGTTCCCAACTGTGTCTGCCCTCCGGTCAAGACTACCGGTGCGNGGTCCAGACAACCCGCGGGTGTCAACCGGTGCCGCAATCATAACTGTTCCCAACTGTGTCTGCCCTCCGGTCAAGACTACCGGTGCGTTTGCTCCAGAGATACAGTCGGCAATTGTATAGAAAATGTATGTTTTTTGTGTGAAGTTTTTTTGACATAATTTTTTAATTTGATTTTCTTAGACACCAATTCATGTGATAAATCCGAGTGTAGATCACAGCCCAGTCGTTGACACTGACAGCGATTATATGCAGAATTTGTCGCTAAAATTGGATTCACTGCTGCAGAGTATGGATCTGTTGACAAGTCGTGACGTAACCGAAAGTGTATGCATTTATTTAATTGTTTTATTTGTTTGTATTTACATTTTTCAAATAATTTCTTAGACACCAATCCATGTGATTAATCCCATCCAATATCACAGCCCAGACTCTGATAACCAGTTAACTAAAAATTTGACACAAAAATTGTATTCATTGCTAAATAACACGGATTTAATGACAGCCGGCGTCGGGGGCGGGGGTTCGCCCACTCATTGGGTTATCATTACATTAATCTCTATAGCGCTTAACCTAATATTCATTGCACTTTTAATTGTTATCATATATCGTATGAAAAAGTCGTAAGTATTTTGTTATAATAATTGTTTATAAATCATTTTATTTAATTAATTGTTTTAATATTTTTGTTTTTTTGTTCAGATTATCATCCAAGAATGTATCAGAAAGGATCTTGCTGAGAGAAAGTTCTCTGGATGATGGTTTATAATTTTAAATACCGTAATACCTGGCTTAGTAGTGCATGCAATACTAAGTCAATTTTAGTAAAATTGGATTTTTCAAAATCATATGCAATCTTATCTAGGTAGTATTGCACCCCTTCACTAAAAATGACATATGATTGCATGCAATAGTATGTAAAATTCAATACAGAATATAAAGCAATAGNTGCATGCAATACTAAGTCAATTTTAGTAAAATTGGATTTTTCAAAATCATATGCAATCTTATCTAGGTAGTATTGCACCCCTTCACTAAAAATGACATATGATTGCATGCAATAGTATGTAAAATTCAATACAGAATATAAAGCAATAGGATTTTCCGCTGAGCTGAGACAGCCGTCTAAGACATATCTTTGACCACATTATTTGTGATCAACTTTGTGTTTGAATTACATTCGCCACTATTTAACATCAAATCCAAGTCATAATCACTTATATCAATGTTTATCACTTGATTTATGTCAGAATTTGCAAACAATTCAAAATTTCGAGACTTTCTATTTTAATTAAACACAATGTTTGATCAGTTGAGTGAACTGATTGGGTTTTAGCATTTGGTTCACACAAATGATCCGTTCACACAGGTGACGTTCACACAGGTGACGTTCACACAGGTGACGTTCACACAGGTGACGTTCACACAGGTGACGTTCACACAAATGGTACTTTTTTAACATTATGTCTATGCAGTGCGGGTTTTGGTTTCAGGGTTTGGTTCATACAAATGGTTAGTTCACACAACTGCTACTTCACCCAAATGATCCAATACTGTATATTCAATCGTTAATCCAAAGTTTTTAGGCAAAACGACTTTTAAAACAATTGCACTGTTTTTAGAAAAGCATATAAATTAATGCAATATTATGTCATTTTTAACAAAAATTCTAATTCCCCTAAAATAGAGTGCAATCTTACCTAGATAGTATTGCACCCCTTTACTGATATTGACTTAGTATTGCATGCATTTCTAAGCCAGGTATTACGGTACATTGAAAATAAAACATCGATTGAAATGATATTTGTATTGAATTCTTATACTTTGCTCAAAAAATTTTTATTATTTATTTTTATTATTATTTAATAAATTTAATTAAAAATATCTGTTATATAAGATTTGAGATAATTTCACAATTTTTATTTATTGTATTTTAATTATGAGTTGAAACAGAATTATATCAAAATAGATTTTAAATACAATTATCGCATAATATTAATGACAAGAATTGAAAATTTTTATAATTGTTTGAAAACTAAACATTAAATACAAAATATAAAAATTAGAAACAAAATGTTATAATTTATAATTATTTTTGAAATAAATGTTTGAAAATTGCTTTCTTCTCTTTAAATGAACATTACATTTGTGTTGATCTAAATCTCCCTTTAGTTTACGAATTTATTTTTATCATTAAAACAGCAAATATAATAAAATAGACAATAATTTTTAATTATTAAATAATATTTATAAATACAAAATGAAAAGTTTTATAATTGTTTAGAAATTGTGTGGAATAGAGAGACATAAAAGTTATACAGAATATTTTAATTATAATTTATTATCAATTTATAAAAATGTTTGAAAATTATTTTTCCTTCAAATGAATAGATTTTTTCTGTCGATTTAAACCGGATTTCGTTTGAAAGGCTTTATTACAATTATTGAAATCACATTTAAACGGTTTTTCTCCCGAATGCCTAAATTTGTGTCGAATTAGTTGTGAATTTTTATCAAACATTTTGCAACAATTTTGTTGATCACATTTGAATCGTTTTTCATTCAAATGACAACTCCTTCTGTGTTCAAACAAAAGGCTTTTTTGTGCAAAACTTTCGTTACAATTATTGACATCACATTTGAATTGCTTTTCTCCCCAATGAGCGACTTTGTGTTGAATGAGATTTGGTTTACTTGTAAAACATTTGCCACAATTTTCTTCATCACATTTAAATCGCTTTTCTTTCAAATGAACACATTTTTTGTGATTAACTAAACTTGCGTTTGTTGTAAAACATTTATTACAATCATTGAAATCACATTTAAAAAGTTTTTCTCCCGAATGCGTGCGTTTGTGTTTAATTAGATCTGACGTTGAACTACAACTTTTGCCACAATTTTCTTCATTACATTTGAATGGCCTTTCATTCAAATGAAAACCTTTTTTATGTCGAATTAAATTTCCTTTTAATGAAAATCGTTGATTACAATCAGTAAAATCACAAACAAATGGTTTTTCTCCCGACTGTACGAGTTTGTGTTCATTTAGATGTGCTGTTGTTTGAAAACTTTTGCCACAATTTACTTCTTCACATTTAAATGGTCTTTCATTTAAATGAACACAACTTTTGTGTCGAATTAAATGAGTTTTTGTTGTAAAACCTTTATTACAATTATTGAAATCACATTTAAATCGTTGTTCTCCCGAATGTATGCTTTTGTGTTGCATTAGATATGATTTATTAGTAAAGCTTTTGCCACAATTTTCTTCATTACATTGAAATCGCTTTGCCTTTAAATGAATACGATTTTTGTGGGAAATTAAATTTGATTTTTGCGCAAAACTTTTATTACAATCGTTAATATCGCAAATAAATGGTTTTTCTCCCGAATGAATGCGTTTGTGTGCAATTAGTTCGTGATTTTGTATGAAACGTTTGCCACAATTTTCTTCATCACATTTGAATTTCGTTTCATTTAAATGAACACAACTTTTGTGTTGAAATAAATATAGTTTTGATGCAAAACTTTTGTTACAGTTTTTAAAATCACAAATAAATCTCTTATTTAACTTTAAATGAATACTATTTTTATGTCCAATTAATTGTGATTTCCATTTATAACTTTCATTACAATCATTAAAATCACATTTAAATTGTCTCTCATTTGAGTGCGTTATTTGGTGTTCAATTAAGTGATGCTTTTGTTTAGCTTTAAATTCACATTTCGGCCAAAAACAGTAAAAATACTTATTATTTAAAGTATTATTGGAAGTATTAATTGCAATCATTTTCTCAAAAATTTTAAATGTTTTGCAATCAATTGTTTGATTGATATCTAAATCCAAATGATTTAGTGATTCAATCGTTTCGTTCAATACACTATTATTTGTATTTAAAATGATCTGAAATTTGTTTAATTTTTCACAAAAACTTTTGATTGCTTTCAACTGATTCTTCATTTCAATTAAATCCATGTCTTTGTGAGTGATTTGATTGATTTGATGCCACGTTTGGCTGTCGTTGTCTTCGGTGGCCATCACTTCATCGACTCGTCGATTGTGTCCACACTTTCTGAGACCACTTCACCACTCATTCAAGTATTGAATTCCCGAAACTGTCCGTCACTTCAGCACTAAATCCGGTTTCAGTTAAACACAAATCAATTGAAAAACACTTAAAAAAGACAAAATTAAAATTTTTGGTCACAATTTATAGATAAAGCGTTTGAAAGCATGGCTTAAAACTATTTGATCGCAAACATTGACTCAACTTTGACTCACTTCCTGTTCACACAAATATTCAACACTTATTGCAATGAAACACACGTGCAGTTCATGTGTTGGGACTTATAAACAGGTATTTCAATACTGCGAAACATCACATGCTATGCCCGGGACAACAATTTATCAAGGTTATTAATTTAGTTGTTATTGTGGAAATCCTATTATCATAATCCATATCTCAAATGTTAAAGGATATATTGTATGTATTTTAATTGACAGCACTTCCACTTCACTCCTAAGAGCTATTGATTCCCCGAAACTTCAATTCAACACTAAATCCGGTTTTAGTTAAACACAAATCAATAAATCAATTGAAAAACATTTCAAATAAAAGACAAAATTAAAATTTTTGGCGCAAATTATAGACAAAGCGTTTGAAAGCATGGATTAAAACAGTTTAATCGCAAGCATTGACTCAACTCTGACTCACTTCCGGTTCACACAAACCACTCATTGATTTAATATTAAGTTTTTATAATTTTTATTCCCTTTTATTGTTCCCAATGTTTGGGAATATTCTTCCAATAATTTAATACAAAATATGCATTTTGTGGGAAACATTGTTTGGTATTTAATTATTTCTCTCAACCTTAATGTCAGACATTTTAGAGTTCATTATATGACTCAATAGTGAAATGCATGTCATGTGAAATATCATAAGTTTTATCATTGAATCCAATGTTATGTGAAATACAGGTACATTGAAAATAAAACATCGATTGAAATTAGATTTGCATTAAATTCTTATATTTTCTCAAAAATTTGTATTTTATTATTTAATAAATTTAATTAAAATATCTTAGAATACGATTTGAGATAATTTCACAATTTTTATTCATTGTATTTTAATTATGAGTTGAAACAGAATAGTTGTATCAAAATACATAGTAATTTAATTACAATTAAGCGATACTAGAATTATGTTTAATAATAATAAACACTTTAAATACAATTATCGCATAATACTGTATTAATGAAAAGAATTGAAAATTTTTATAATTGATTGAAAATTGAACATTAAATACAAATATAAAAATTAGAAACAAAATGTTATAATTTATAATCATTTTTGAAATAAATGTTTGAAAATTACTCTTTTTTCTTTAAATTAACACAACTTTTGTGTTGATCTAAATCTTTTTTAGTTTACGAATTTATTTTTATCATTAAAACAGCAAATATAATAAAATAATAAAATAGAAATAGACAATAATTTTTAATTATTAAATAATATTTATAACTACAAAATGAAAAGTTTTATAAATGTTTAAAAATTGTGTGGAATAGAGAGACATAAAAGTTATACAAAATATTTTATAAATATAATTTATTATCAATTTATAAAATGTTTGAGAATTAGTTTTCCTTCAAATGAATACATTTTTTGTGTCGAATTACATGTGATTTCGATCGAAATGTTTTGTTGCAATTATTGAAATCACATTTAAACGGTTTTTCTCCTGAATGCGTCAATTTGTGTTGAATTAGTTGTGCTTTTGTACCAAATATTTTGCCACAATTCTCTTCATTACATTTGAACCGTTTTTCATTCAAATGACAACTCCTTCTGTGTTCAAACAAAAGGCGTTTTTGTGCAAAACCTTCGTTACAATTATTGACATCACATTCAAATTGCTTTTCTCCCGAATGAGAGACTTTGTGTTTAATGAGATTTGGTTTACTTGTAAAACATTTGCCACAATTTTCTACATCACATGTAAATCGCTTTTCTTTCAAATGAACACATCTTTTGTGTTTATATAAACTTCCTTTTGCTGTAAAATATTTATTACATTCATTGAAATCACATTTGAATGGCTTTTCTCCCTTATGTATGCGTTTGTGTTTATTTAGTTCTGAATTAATACTAAAACTTTTGCCACAATTGTTTTCATTACATTTGAATCGTTTTTCATTTAAATGAAAGCATATTTTATGTCGTTTTAAATTCTGGTTCAAATTATAACTTTTATTACAATTATTAAAATCACATTTAAATGGTTTTGAATTTGAATGAATTATTTGATGTGAATTTAAATTAGTTTTATATAATGTCTTGAATTGACAATCAGTCCAAAAACAGTAAAAATATTTACTCCGCTTTAAATGAACTGTATTTTTGTGTACAATTAAATTTTCTTTTATGGCAAAACTTTTGGTACAATTATTTAAATCACAAACAAATGGTTTTTCTCCCGAATGAATGCGTTTGTGTTTAATTAGATCTGAGTTTTTGCCAAAACTTTTGCCACAATTTTCTTCATTACATTTTAATTGTTTTTCATTCAAATGAACGCTATTTTTGTGTTGAATTAAGCGCTGATTTGTGGGAAATATTTTATTACAATTATTGAAATCACAAATAAAACACTGATTAAAATGTATACTATTTTTGTGTTCAATGAGATGTTGATTTGTTTTATAACTTTTGTCGCAATTATTAAAATCACATTTAAATTGTTTAATATTTGTGTGAATTAATTGGTGTTGAATTAAATCACATTTAAATGTTGACTGAAATTCACATTTAGGCCAAAAACAGTTAAAATACTTATTATTGCATTCAAATAATCACTGCTTTTGTTTTCATTAATTGAAAGCAATGTTTGACTGATTTTGAATGTTTTGCAATCAATTGTTAGATTGAAATCCAAATGATTTAATGATTCAATCGTTTCATTCAAAACACTATTATTTGTATTCAAAATGAACTGAAATTTGTTTAATGTTTGACAAAAACCTCTGATTGCTTTCAACTGATTCTTCATTTCAATTAAATCCATGTCTTTGTGTGTCATTTGATCCCAAGAGTGGCTGTCGTTGTCTTCGGTGGCCATCACTTCATCGACTCGGAGATTGTGTCCACACATGTGTCCGCACACTCTGACAGCACTTCCACTTCACTCCTCATCTCTCTATTGATTCCCCGAAACTTCAATTCAACACTAAATCCGGTTTCAGTTAAACACAAATCAATCAAAACTTTTTAAAACACTTAAAACTAAACATAAAATCAAAACTTTTGCCGCAATTTATAGACAAAGCGTTTGAAAGCATTGCTTAAAACCGTTTGATCGCAAACATTGACTCAACTCTGAATCACTTCCAAACAATCACTCATCAAATTATATAAAGTTTGTTTAATTCTTATTCCTAACTATTTTCCCCTAAATATAGGGAATTTTCCCAAAAATTCCATTCAATTATTATTAGAATAGACTTTCTATGGGAAACATTGTGTGATATTTCGAGAAATTCTGAAAAGTAATATCAAATATTTCAGAGTTCATTGTATGACTCAATAGTGAAATACATTGCAAATGAATAATCATTAGTTTTATCATTGAATCCAATGTTAACTCAAATCTATTGAAAATAAAACATCGCTTGAAATGACTTTTGTATTGAATCTAACGTTTTGTCCATTCATTTGCATTGAAAGGCATTAATGTTTTACATTCTGATTGTGTCGACAATTATTGTCGCTTTCATTGCCTTTAAATTCAATGCAAACAACACTCAAACCACTCAAAGACCGCACAAACACTCAATCCATTTGTAATAAGATTACAAACAATTCAGAATTTATACTTAATTTACATTTTATTAATACATTATTATAAAATTTTTGTAATTAAATATTTATAATTTAATAAAATAATAGCGTTTATAAGTGAAATAAATTTTATTCAATACATTTGAAATCAAAATAAATTTTAAAACAATTCATACGATTACACAATAATTTTGTAAAATAATTAATAAAATATTAATTACAACATATATGCGATAAAATAATTAATGTATTTATAATTTCAATGAAATATTACAAAACTTTACATTACATTTGAAACCTATTTGTTGTTCAAATGAAAACAACTTTTGTGTTGAATTAATTCATGTTTTGTTTGATAACTTTTGTTGCAATTATTGAAATCACAGACAAATCTTACATTTGAATGAATGAAATTTTTGTGTTCATTTAAATGAGATTTTTGTTTAAAACATTCATTACAATCATTGAAATCACATTTAAATGGTTTTTCTCCCGAATGCAACCGTTTATGTTTATATAGATGTGATTCATAGCCAAAACTTTTGCCACAATTTTCTTCATTACATTTAAATCGCTTTTCATTCAAATGAACACAACTTTTGTGTTGAAATAACATTCGTTTTCTGGAAAAACTTTTGTTGCAATCTTTAACATCACAAATAAATAATTTCTTAATGAAATGAACTGTATTTTTGTGTTTACTTAAATTCTTTAGATTTTTAAAACGTTTATTACAATCATTATAATTGCATTTAAATTGTTTTATATCTGAATGACTCAATTGGTGTTGATTTAAATCCCATTTGCGTTGAGTCTTATATTTACAATCAGTCCAAAGACAGTGAAAATACTGGATGTTATTAATTGTGTTATTAATTGAATGTTCGCTCGTTTTGTGTTGATTTAAATGTTGTTTCCGTTTATAAACTTTATTACAATTATTAAAATCACATTTAAATTGTTTAACATTTGAATGAATCAATTGATGTGTTTTTAAATAACTTTTATTTTTTGTCTTGAATTCACATTTAGGCCAAAAACAGTGAAAATACTTATTTAAATGAATGCCATTTTTGTGTTGATTTAATAAATATTTTTCTCTAAAACTTTGATTACAATCATTGAAATCACATTTAAATGATTTAGTGTTTGAATGAATTAATTGATGTCGACTTAAATTATGTCTACTTTTTGCTTTGTATTCACATTTAGGCCAAAAACAGTGAAAATATTTATTATTATTAATTGCTATCAAATTATCACTGATTTTGAATGTTTTGCAATCAATTGTTTGATTGAAATCCAAATGATTTATTGATTCAATCGTTTCATTCAAAACACTATAATTTGTATTCAAAATACATTGCATTTTGTCTATCGTTTCGC